AATAAAAAGAAATTAGTATATAAACACACAAAATGATTATTTTAGTTTAATAATGTCTATTTTATAATTATAATCTCAAAAAATAATGAATAAAAAGTATTTTATAGTAGGAAGTAGAAAACTGCTTGGCGATTAGGCGAGACAAGCCTCAAAGGGTGCCTTGTCGCCTAGGCGTTGCCTTGACAACTATGTATGGTATTCAAGTATTAAACTACATACCAAGAAAACTGGTTTTTTTTTTTTTTGATACAATGGGAAGAAGGTATTTATTAGTTTTACACTTTTGCTTCGGGACTCATCCACAAGCAAAAATCTTCTACATATAACTTGCTGGTATTTATACATGTCATCCACAGTCTAGCACCACAATTTTGAAGTAGGTGGGCATTTTTTTTTCATTAAGTAGGAAGACAATTTCAAAGCAAAGAGAACTTTGAAATCCAAGAATTTATAAGCCATAGAAAAGTGACAATGGTGGGGTTGCAACTCGGGTTGGGTTGGATTGGGTTGATTTGATTTGATTTGGGGATTTGTTATGTTTTCAATGGGCCTGAGACCGATGTAGTTGGAATTCTTCAAATCGGGCAACCCAACTTCATGTCATAGTTAATGGGAAGCCATATCAAATTTTAAACATCATCCCTTCCATGATGTGTCTAGCATGTAACTTCAGTAAAGCCAAGGATTATATGCATCCAAGCAGTTTTTCATTTATCACAAAATGTGGTTGTACCATGACTTAGTGCATTCAAGTAAGATATATAAGCACAAAGGAAATAGAAGATACGCTTTATCATACATGAAAATGGGAAGTTAGTAAACTATTCCACATACCCATAGTAACGATCTTTTATATTTTGTTGAGATAACTCGCCAGTAATGGGCATTTCATGCCGATATGGACATTCAGCGCCTCTTGTGCATTCACCACGTACATAGAAACTGCAAACATGCGCTCTGTTTCTTTTGTAATATGGTGTTGTCCTTTGAAGCTTTAAAATAGTGTCATTTGGACGAACCTTTCCATATGAAGATTCATAATCTAAGCCAGCTCTAGCCTGTCAAGTATAACCACACTCAATGAGCATAAGATAATGCCACCATCAGGGGGAAAATAACATTGCATATTGAAATAAAACCATTCCATAAAGCACATCTCAGTATTTCTGTTTGAATATCTGAAACAAAATGAATGCATTTATAAACCCTAAGCAATTGCAAGTATGTTTCGCATGAACTTGTTGTTTATTTAATCTTTTATTTTTTATTGCATATTCAATAAAACCATTCCAGAACAGAAAGCACATCTCACAATTTTGGTTTGAATATCTGAAACAAACCAATGAATCTGTAAACCCTAAGCAATCGCAAGCATGATCTGCATGAACTTGTCATTTATTTAATCTTTTATTTTCTTGATTGGCATTAAAATTCTATCAAAAAAGGGGTCTTTAAAGAAGAAATCTGGCCCTGAAAAACAGGCCCAAAATGAAGATGCAAATAGAGAAGGTAGATAGAAAGGTTTGAGAAAAACAGGACTCAGTGATATGAATGTTGCCCCATTTGAGATCATCTGAGGACTTTCTAAAGAAGAAAATAGGAGCACCATTCAATGGGCCTTCAGATTTTTTTCCTCAGATATGCTCCAAAATACTTAGTTGCTCCTAGATCTTGAAAGATGGATTAATTTCAGTAGACACCGATGTGGGGGTAAAGCCTTGATGCAGCTTTTATATGTTTTATCTCAACTTTGTATAATGAGGATACCATGTCCTCCTTACTTGTGCACTTCTCAAAAAAGTATCAATAAGTTAACTTTCCTATTGATCAAAAGAGAATATTATGGCTCACAGGTTCCAGAATTTTGTAAAAGATACAGCATGCATACTCTCACTTAGATGCATTAGAAAACTAGCAGAAATGAAATGATGATTAGTTTAACATTCTTGAGAATATTACTAGCAGCATGAATCACTTTGACTACTATTTTTTTATTGTGCCTCTAGATTACTCGGTATCAATGCTACTAATAGGGGTGGGGTTGTCACATGGATAAACAAGGATTTTGCCACTAATATCAAACATACCCTGCGGTCATGCTCCTCTGCAAAGTACTCCCTGTTCACATCACTCTTTGGAATGGCATCGTTTGAGTTGATAGCAAGTGCAGTATCACGAACCTGAACTGGCAGCCCATACTCAAGATCCAAGAGACACACTTGACACACATTCTTAAGCTTACTGCAGGTTTGGCAAACCTCTGTCTTCTTAAATCTTGCATCACGACCTGGTCTCCACCTGAAAACCGTGAAAGGCCGTGTACAAATCTTGCATTCCTTATCAAAATCTGCTTTTGTCTGCATGAGAGAAAAAAGATGCAATAGCCATAAGTGAGTGTGCTATAGGTTATTCATAAAAAAAGAAAGTGTTATAGGCTTCTTCTGGACCAACACTAAAATAAAGTTAATTTGACCTGAACATACCAATACCGATGATGTTGCAGATAAAGACTACAACATTAACGTAGCTTTCTGCAATGGCTTCTAGTAGTTTTTCTTTCATTAATGTGGGTACTGGGTAATCTAATGGCTTCTAATTTGTATAATTACAAACGCTATCATATGCACAAAAACTGTCTACTAGTACAAAACATCGAAAACAGAGTCACCGTGTTCTCAGCAATGATCAAAATCTGGATTAAACTACAAAACAATTGGGCCAACGTGAAAAGGGCAAATCGAGCTCTCAATTAACTCGTCTTCCCAAACCCAGTAAATAGGAGGCCCATTTCCCAATCAGTGCATAGTTTGTTAATAACAACTAATCAGCCGGGGTAAAGTGCTTTATTTTACAGATGAAGTAAGACGAACTGCGAATATTTTTCTTTTCCTTCTTTGTCGACCATCCCTAAAGATCAATAACCAAGAAAGCAAATTAGGGTTGAACAAAATAAGGGGAAGATTACCATCCGAACGTAGGGATTGTCTCCGAGGCAGGACTCGCAAATAATGGGGAAATCAGAGCGCTCCCAACCATCTGCCTCTGGATCTCTTAACAATCTGTGCGCCATTTTTTTCTTCTCTTCCTAACGCCTTATCTCTGATACGAAAGATGAAGGCCGGACTTAAAAGAAAGACGGAGACGTGCGTGTCGAGGCCCCGGGACCTTAAAGGGGTTTATCCCGAAAGAGGGTTGGATTGAACAGCATCCCGTTTCGTCGTCGGGCCCAAAAGGGGTCTGTATTCTTCCAATCAGTTCTTTACTTCTTATATACCGCCTTCCAGAATTTGACGACTCAGACCGTTCGTTGATCCGTAAAGCGGCTCGACCACGGTTCAACAGCTAATGGTGGAAAGTGGAATCATGTCACCTCATTAATGACTTCTCAAAGGGACGAAACACACTGGAATAGAACTTCTCAAATGTATTCTTCCTATTCAAAATCCCAAATGGTTTTGAATAATTTCACTGGAATAGAACTTTGAGATGATTTCCGGTAGAGTTTACTGCAACTGGTTCAGGTGGGGAATCTGAATATGCGCCGAATCAAAGGGACGAAACACACTCCACCGCCGCTCTTCCGCCCTCTTCAGAGGGAATGAAGGACCAGGAACCAATGGCGGGAAAGGAAGGCCGCCGTTCTGCTCTTCGTCTCAGGGAAGGGGACGATGAACTGTAAACCCTCGATGACTTCTCAAAGAAGAAAAAAAAAAAAAAAAAACTTCTCCCTCTCTCGAATTCCTCTGTTCTCACCTGTCCCCTTTCTACCCTGTGCGCTCTCTTCTTGCCCGAAATCTCCCCTTAAAGAGGAAAGCCGAGAGCCTCTCCTATTCTCTTCAAAAGAGACTCCCCCCTTTCGATCCCCTCTTCTCTTCCTCTCTCTTGGGAATGGCGCCTTTATTTAACTGGAGGCCAAGTAGACGTGGCAATTGGGTTGGGTGGGATCGGGTTCGGGTTGGGTTGGATTGTCAAATGCTAGACCCTAACCCTAAATATTTGGGTTAGGATTGACCCATGGGTCAATTCGAATCATCCCAAAAATAATTGAAATTTAAAAAAAAAAAAAAATGAAAAATGTCAAAATTAAAAGAATTAACCTTAAAATTCCAAATTTAAAATAAAAAACTTAAACATTTAACAATTTAAAGAGTAAACAATAAAAAGTAAAGACTAATAGAAAAAATTAAAGAGTGGAAACTTCTAACAAGGCATAAATAATCTCGATTAGACTTGACAATCGGGTCAACGGGTTGACCCATGACCCAACCCATTTTTTCGGGTGGGTCGGGTCAGGTTATTTTCACATTTGGGTAGCAAATATGAGGCCCAAACCCTATTTTTTCGAGTTGGGTTAGGTCAACTTTTTACTAGGTCTAAGGCCAAGGAATGTGGTTCTATCAATTTTCCAAAAATGAAAGGGGGGTTTAGGTAAGTCAGGGTTTAAAAGGACACGAGGGTTCAATATTTGGGGTGAAGGGCATTTTGGTAATGTTATGTTTAAAGGGTATTTTGAGGATTTAAGGAACTGGGGTATTTTGGTAGGATTATGGGAATTTTGGGAAATGGGTATTTTGGTAGTTTTAGTAGGAAGGGTATTTTGGTAATTTGGTAAGAGAGGGTATTAAGTCAGAGGGTATTTTGGGAATCAGGTTTTGGATAACTATGGTCAAGGGGATTTTGGTGATTATGGAAGGGGGATTTTGGTAATTTTAGTCTAAGGGGTAATTTGGGTAATTCTATAAGGGGTATTTTGGTAATTTTGGTAAGAGGGATATTAAGTCAGAGGGTATTTTGGGACCTAGGTCAGAGGGGTAGTTTGGGTAATTTGGGTCAAGGGAATTTTGGGAATTTGGCCCACGACATTTTGGGAATTGGGAATTTAAGGTATTTGAAATAAAGGGTATTTGACAATTTTGGTCAAGGGGTATTTTGGGAATTGGGAATTTAGGGTATTTGAAGTGAAAGGTATTTGGTAATTTTGGTCAAGGGTATTTTGGTGATTTTAGGAAGGTTTTAGAAAGAGGGCATTTTTGGGAATTAGGTTGGGGTAATTTGGGAATTGGTCAAAGGGGTAGTTTGGTCAAGGGCATTTTGGTTTGAGGGGTATTTTAGTAATTTTAGTGGGGATAATATGGAAATTAGGTCAGGAGTAATTTGGGTAATTTGGTGGGGGTATTTTTTTTAATTTTGGGAAAATGGGTTTAAGGGGTTGGGCCAGGTTTCTGATCCAATGGTGGGGATTTTTGGGTAAGAAAATGGAGGGTTGAGATGGGTCTGACCACCAAGGGGGTTTTGTGTCCATGGGCTAACGAGATTGACTAAAATGGAATCTTTTTAGGTATAAGGGTAAATGTGGGTATTTTTGGCTAAAATTTGGCAAGGTGGGGTTTTTGGGATTCTGGGTTGATTAGTGAGGTCAGATTGGCCCAATTGGGCCCAGATCAGGCAGATTTGGAAAGGGCTTGATATGGCTAATCTAGAGCCTCAAAATGAAATCTTTGTGCGGTCAAGGGGTAAATAAAGTTTATTTTGGGTGAAATTTCACAAGGTAGGGTTTTTGGGCCGTATGATGTGATTGGTAAGGTTAGATTGAGCCAACTGGGCCCGGATTGGATAAATTTGTAATCCGATCAACCTGGAACCTTGAAATGGAATCTTGGTGCGTTTAAAGGGTAACGAAGGTATTTTGGGTTGAGATTTCACAGGTGGGCGTTTAAAGGGTATGATGGTTGTGTCCAATTCAATGGTTAAGGTGTAAGTGGAAGTCGATCGGGGCTATCAGATAGGTATCGGGTAGGTTTAATGGTGAATTTGAGGGATTTCAGGGTAAAAGTTGGGATTTTTGGGTTTTTGGGTGTTTTGGAGGGATTAGAAGGGTTTGATCGGGTGTTTGGGGTACCTTGGAGGTTCAGGTGGCAGACTGAGCAAAAATCGAGTGCTAGCAGCTGCCCCTCTTTGTTGTGGGGCAGGAAACTACGGAACAACAAAGACCAAAAGAAGCACACAGAGATTTTTGCAAAGGGCAAGTTTTGAAGAGGGATGAGCCGAGGATAGAAGATTATGGCAAGGTGAAAAGGAAAAGTTCTTCTGCAACATTGTTTCATCGTGTTCGGGCCGATTTTATTCTTGGCAAAGCGACCTTTCTTAGGTATTAAGAACCTTCGAAATCAGGGTACATTTGCCTTGAAAGAAAATAAATAAAACGATTGATAATATGAAAACTATTTGGAGAAAAGACCCCTCCTAGGTATCAAGAACCTTATGGAATCAGGGTACATCTTCGAAAACTAGATCTGGGTGCATCTATGAAAATTGGATTAAAGTAAATCTGCGAATACTAGATCTAGGAAGAAAACTGCAAAAACTGGATTAAAGTAAATCTGCAAAAAAACTAGATTAAAGTAAATCTATGAAATCTGAATTAAAGTAAATCTGGAAAAATTTGCGAAAAAAACTGAGCTAAAGTAAATCTGTGAAAAACTTGATTAAAGTAAATCTACGAAATTTGGATATGGGATAAAACTGTGAAACTGGACTAAAAGTAAATATGGGAAATCTGGATATGGGGAAATCTACGAAAAGTAAATATGGTAAACCTGGATTTGGGAAATCTGTGAAATCTGGATATGGGATAATCTATAAAAACTGAATTAAAGTAAATATGGGAAAATCTACGAAAAACTAGATTAAAGTAAATTTGTGAAACCTGGATCTGGGATAAAACTGTGAAAAACTGGATTAAAGTAAATCTGCAAAATCTGGATCTGGGGTCTATATATATATATATATTAAAATTGGTTCTGCCATGTCAGCAGCCCTCTCCTTGTTTCAAACCCCCTTCCTAATTTTTTGTTTTTTTTTGAATTTTTTTATTTTTTTAATTCCACATAATATATATATATATATTTATATACTAATAGGATATGGTTAAATAATAAAAAAAATTAAAACTTGATAAAATGCAAAAAATATAGAAATTAAAGAAAAAATTGGGAACATCTTTAATATCATATATTCATCATATTAGACAAGAATAAGTATGGTAAATAAGAAATACTTTTATTAGTGATGGAAATAGAATATAAAATTTAAAACCAATTGGAAATAAAATTATTTTCCTATTCCCTCTCATTAAGTCTCATATCTAAGGTATATTCTCTCATGAAGTCCTATATTTAAGATATATTTTCTCATCATTAAATTTTATTAATTAAGTCCACAACATTGATTTTAATAGTATAAAAATAAAACCATTTTCTTCCCTCCCGGTAGTGGGTAAGCAATTCAACCATTTGGGTCAAATGGGTTAACCAATAATGTCATAATTAAATAATAAAAAATCAAAATAAATAATATATAAAAATACAAAAAGGAATTGAGCATATATCTAATATTATATATTCATTATACTAAATAAAATTAAGTATGAAATGTAAGAAATATTTTTATTAACGATGAAAATGAAATTACAAATCTAAAATAAACCTTGAAATGAAATTAAATGGTTCATAGTCAAATAATAAAATTTTTAAAATAAGAACAAAAAATCACAAAATAAAGAAAAAGTAGAGAACAATTTGGGCACACATTTGATGCTATATATATAAATAAAATAAAATATTGGGTCCATCTATAATATTATACATTCATTATATTGAACAAAAATAATTATTATGCATAATTTTATCAATGATGGAAATGCAATAATAAATGGTTTGGGTGGTGGGTTCAGAAAGTATAGTAGTTCTTGCAACTGTAGTGACGAGTACAAGGAAACTAAACAAGATAATTGTATGTGTTCATGACAAAGGGGATTGTTTAAATGGTTACGATGAAGGAGACAATAGAGGAAGAAGAAGAAGAAGAAGAAGAGAGAGAGAGAGAGAGAGGATTTTTAAGTGGACCCACCTATTATTTTTTCCTTAAAATTACTTATAGGTTGAAAGATCCATATTATTATTTTTTTGTTTTATTAATAGTTCATTATAATTAATTATTAAATAAAAATATTAATTTTGTTTTATTCTTGATCACATGTGAACATGTGAGAATTTTTAAGTGCGACCCATGTGTAATTTTTCTTTTTTTTTTTTAATTCAGTAGTACCACATCATTAGGCATTATTATTTTATTATTTGTTTAGTAGAATTGTGAACATCTTAACATTGTATGCTTTTACCTTAAAATGGCCTTTTCACCATAGTTTGAGGGCAAAAATGGTTATTTTGAATATTTAGAGTCAAAAGTGGTCTTTTTTGCAAAGTTCAGGAGTTGTCAAAATCAAAATTCCAATATTGTTTCAGCTTCAACCACAAACCATGAATACAAGGGTATCCCTATTACCAATATAATGTCTTTATATTGTACCCTTTTTCAATGGGAGGTCTAGCCTCTTTGAAGGAGAAGACCTTACATGCATACTAATAAGAGAGCTATGCATGTGTAAATGACAACATGAAGAAAAAAATTAAAAATAAAAAACCCAAAGTGAGAGGACAGTTTTTTGGGTGGAAGAGAGAAAATAAGAGTTTTAGGGAATGGAAGCAAATTAGGAGAGGGATGTAGTGTAGTGATTGATTATAGAGATTGATGGAGAAGGAGATTTTGACCAAGAGGGAGAGTGAGGGAGAAGAATGAGAAAGATTGAGGGAGAACAATACAGAGAGAGGTTTTAATTTGGCTACAGACCGAAGCAGAGAGAGTGGGGGGACAGAGGGAGCGGGAGATCGAGAGATGAATGTGATAGTGAGAAAGAAGGGAGGGAGATCGAGAGACAGAGGGAGTAGGAGAGAAACTGAAAACCTATTTTCGATATAGGTTTTTTGTTGTGTCTAACATGGAATAAGAATCCCATGTTG